TTTTTTTTTTTTTTTTTTTTTAAATAAAAGCAATAGATACCACAGTTTGGGTATGTAAAACAATCCAAAACCCACCAAAGTCAATAGGAGTCTTTTACTGATCTAATGAACTTTGAGTCACTTCCTCATTACTGATTTCAAAGGTATACAGTATATCTGCGTACGTACCAAAATATTTTTAACCAGAGGATGCAGCTGATGTCGCTAATTTCCAACAGAACCGCAATAATGAGAAGTCACATTATACTCCTCCTTCCTTACTATTAACAGCAAGAGAGTTATTGTGAGCACAGTTCTGGCAAAAGGTGCTATTCTTATATATTAGAGAACAAGATCCTTTATTTACCTGCAGATCATGTACAAAGCAAAGATGATAGAAGTTTTCCTTCATTTCCCAATCTCTAATATACTTTTGTCTCAGCCCTGACCAGATAAGGAATATTCTCTAGTTATTAGACAACGTGCATCTCCTTTCTCAGTGAATCTTTGGCTTCTTTCAAACTTCCAATAAAGACGCCAATTCCAATAAGTGATAATTATGACTGTAACAAGGCTTAAACAGTCATTTTCAAGCCTTGTCACAGGCTTCATTCCCCCTTCACACTTTTTTCATACTGAACTAAAAGGTTTAGGGGAAGTAAGAAAAATACACTTGATACTGAATCAATAAAATGTGTGTCAAAGAGCAATTTCTGCAGATAAATCACTCCAAACCAGCTATGGTTTTTAGACTCAGAACAAATCCACATGGACTTCGCATATAATTAAACTCTATTTATATTCGTACTATTAAACTACTAGTTACAGAAAGACTGTAACACACTGTTCTGGATACTTACCAACTCTGTTTGCTCCTGACAGCACAAGGAGAAAGCAAAGACAGACAATACTGTAATTACCATAAATGATTCAGCTGAAATGGCAGTTAGAAAAATGCATGACAGGAGAAAGGGAGCTCTAGTGTTGAATAAGTTGTATGACCCTCCATCCATCTGCCAAGCCATAGCTGCAGAAAAAGATGTCTGACTCGGCAACTCAGAAGCCACACAATACACTACAACACAGCAGGGCCAAGTTTAAGCATTAAACATTTAATGACCAGGACTCAAGGTTAAGGAAGAGCTTTTTCAAGCCCAGAACAGCAGAAAAGAAAAAAAAGGGGGGGGGGGAGGGGAGAGGGAGGAAGGGAACCTATTTTGCACAGCTTTCTTGAAACCCTGTCTGGATAACTAAGATGCAGAAAGAACTAGCTTTGGATTAAATAACTTGTAACAAAACCTAAAGGGGAGGCAAACCCTAATATGGAGTCTTGGGACAGAATGAAAAACAAAGAGATCAACGTGAAATTTTCTAACCAGAGGGAAAGGCATAGCATTGGATGAGATGCAATAGGGCTAAATCCACTTGGGTTCAAGCAAATGGTAATCCAGTAGTCTTGCATCAGTTTACTTTATAATAAGACATTGATGTTATGATGCCTCAATAAAGGTATATTTTTAGTCCTTACAGCAAACCTAGGGGCATCAAGACACAGACACAGACGTGTGTACATACCACTGAGATAACATCTTACAAAACAAAAGGGTCACCACCACTTTGTGAATCGTATAGGCATACAGCCCATATTGCACACTAGTTATCAGAAACCTATTCCCTGCATATATAAACAGACAAAATAACAGATACTGTTTGACTGGCAAGGAGCTTGGGATTTATATTTTAGTCCATCTCTCTTACATCTCCCTCATTCTCATTTCTTTGGCATGAAAGTAAGCTGAGCCACCCCAGGTATTAGCTATAATATTGGCATTACAGTCCCCTATAGTTGCCACTAAACGTCAGTCAGTGCCTCCTGGAAAACACTGAAAAAAACATTCAATTTCTAGAACAATCTAAGTTCTGTGTTTCCACCCCCATTTTTGTCAAAGACATTGCAATGGAAATGGCTGACAGTCTTTCTGGGATTTCATTATCTTCACCACAGTTATCATTTATGGGGTACCAAAACCTTACAACAGAGCAGGGGCAGGCAATTATTTTGGCTGGAGGGCCACTTACCCAGTTTTGGCAAGCTGTCAAGGGCTGCATGGGTAGCCCAGCCTCCTGGTCACCATCTTGGAACTGGAAGTCCTGCCCCGTAACCCCTGACCTTTGCTATCAGAAGTCCCTCCCCTTGCCCCCAGAAGTGCTCCTTTCAGCAAGGGCTTTTGCCATCTCAGAACCAGAAAAATACCAAATTATATTTTAAAAATCAAATATCTACAACATTCATTCGACTTCAAAAAATATTTTTGTCCTGATTTACATGCGTTTGTGTAGTGTACATAGAGGTGATTGTATAATAGCTTAAAATGAAGTCTTACTCTTGTATATTGTGGTGGGTGGGTATAGGTTTGTGTGGGGCTGTAGGTGTGTGGGGTGAAGGGGAGTGTGTGGAGT